CTTTGCTTTGTGTCCCTATCAGTGTAACTTACAAGTCTGACACAGAGGTTCATCGCTCTCTCTATGCTGGATACTAGTCGCAAATCGTTTTTCCTATTCTGACGCAATATTGATCGAAATACTAAACCAAAAGATGCGTTAACATAATTCTGACGCCCTACCTGCTTCTACTTATAACGTATAAAGATAGATAATCTATACTTGGCTGATTACGTCATAGCCTCGGTGTATATAAACTGCAATCAAATGCATAGTTCAAATCGCACATATAAAATTCATCATAATCTTAAAAATCGTCGAAAAAATATGGCAAAACCAATGTCATACGCGGATCACGCTTGGGTTGTCCAATTGCAAGCTTGAAAACGATGTCACTTAGAACTTGCATAACTTAAGATAGCAGACAGGAGAAGATACAACAGGATGCATGCTAGCAATCGTTGGATGGACCTGATAAAAAAAGATCATAGTAGTCGCTTCACCCCCAGCCAAATTAAACCTGATAAAAAGTAATATAGAATTGCCGCGCATATTGGTGGCATTGAAGTGAAAGTGGATTACTTCGGGACTATAGGCATAAGCTGAAGCTTAAGCAATCGGATATCCAATTCAGCGTGTCGCGAGAATTGCGCCTACTGATACAGTCCTTGATGGCTGGACCACCAAAGACACAGTATATCCACGTGAGACAGGCGCAAATATGGTAACTGGCGCTATTTTTTCGACAAACAGCCGCACGACGGTCTATATTGCCGTACCGAAAACACTATGGCTTAGTTGAACTGCAAAATTTGTGGTTGAATAGCTTACCGCATTCGCTTGATACATCGATTGCATTGAGTTCCGTGGGCCCTAGGCTAGATGTAGACCGACGTTGCGTGGCTGCATACAAGTACGATGACACGACCGTAAAATCTTAACGATCCTCAAGTTAAATAAATCTTCCAGAGTCATAGGTTAGGAGTGTGTGAGGAGATAATGCCAAATGACTCCTGCATCACGAACACAAATATACTAATTTGTGAAGCCATGTGAAAGGTGTCGTGTCTTCCGCCCATAATCACGCAGTATCAGCTAGCCTTGTGGAAGTGAAACGAAGTCTTTACGTAAGCGTGATAATTTTTCGGAAGTTTTAAACGCCAGTCATAGGCCTGACTGGATACCGTTTAGCGTGGTGAACGCCGACCCGTGCACGACGAACTTTTCAAGGGTCCGCTTTTTGAGCTTACCGGGAAGCCGACACAGTAACAAAATAACATTGCACGTCATTGCGTCAAACAAATGTGGCTCTATCGCAATATCCATCTCCCTAAACCTACAATTACGGGGGAGACAATCCAGATCATCACCTGAAAATGTTGATATAGCCATAATGTGTGCATCGTAATGGGAATTGCGCGAGGGAGTCTATACTCGACTTTTCCTTCGGTGATCTCGCACGTCACGTATGTTTGGATGAAGGATCGGATTTTGATCCATATTTTCTGATCATATCAGCGAAGTAATAGCTATATTACCGAACACCGCCGCAAGGAGGTGTTAAGTATGCACTGTGCCATTGTGGGATGTGAAAAGTTAAATGCTTCAATGAAACCGGTTGAATCTTTATAGAATCGGACACATTTAGATCGAGCGTTGACATGGATGGACTTAAAGGTGCAAATAGATGTTTCGGGTTGATTTCCTTTAACCGTCGAACTCTGAGGGGCGCTGAGAAAGAGCTATTATTTATGAAGTAATGATATAACTCTGTTCACTTTTTTCTCGGATAAAATTGGCTATTAGTGCACATGCTTTTCCTAGATAGTGACAACGCTAGAATAATACTCTACTCTACTTGTCCCGATAAATGGGTCAGATATCCCAATAGTATTCGACCACTAATATGTAGAACCGAATCATTTGCTAATCGGATACTGCGTATACCCAATAATGCATAATGACCTATGAATTCGAATATGTTATGGAGGAATTCACCCTAGTGCCCTGTTTAAGCGCCGCTCGTACCAATTAATTAGCGCGGTTTCGATTCCCTTTTAGTCCAACCCAAGGCCCCTATAAAATGTGTGCGTTACACTAGATGAAATGGTGACACCCTGGGAACCCCGGCACCGGCTAGTAAACCCTTTTGAGGAGGCTTAAACCCAAAACACCTATTAGATGGGCTATCCGGTCTGGCAGGCTCCAGAGCAGCCGGTAAGCACCGCTCATCCCGTGGGGCGATATCACGACCGGGAAGGAATTTATAGACCCTCCCAAAGTGGGCAGTGTCATGTCGTTGGGAGCAATCGATGTTCGGGCTGTACCTACAGAACAAAAAGCTAGCATACTATATATTGACTCATTACCATAATGGTGTGTATTACAACTTACGATCCACCATCCGAAATCGACGAGTTGAAACAAGAATTCGATTCGTTGTCCGCATATAAAGATTCGATCGCATGTTGATACGCAATTCATCGGATTAGTACGTACTACACCTTGCGCCCCGTATCTGCGATCGATCGAAGATTAATCACAGGAGATCGATTCGTTCACCGCGACAAAGTATGCGATCGCGATCTAGAACGAGATCGTGATTATGATCTAGATTGCGATACATCGGATTGGTGTGTACAAAACCACGCGATCTGCGACTAAGTATGCGACCGGGATCAAGAATGAGACCATTATACATCGGATTTGTGAATCGCAAACCACGCGATCGCGATTCGCGATAGGGAAGTAGAAAATGGAGCAACGCATACAGAATGCTTAATAGCAGAGATAGACGATATGCGGCATAGGTCCAAAGTCACGGTCAGGCACTGTGGTAGTTCTTATTTGATTGATCAATCATTTAACAGAATTAAGTTTGCTTCCAGCTATACGGAACGTCTTTTTCTGGGTTGGAGTACTAGCAAATTGACCTCAAAAAAGTTGTAACCGGGGAGAGCTCTTTACATATAATTGATACGAATGTATTCATATTAGTAATAATCAATCATTTTTGATAATAACCAATCATCATTACTCGAGAAGAGGTTATGTTGGCGGAATACTACCCCCGAAAATAATATTATTGAGTGCTCCACTTATTTGTTGATGAGGACGCCACATCAACCAATTTTAACCACCAATCGCTGCTGGACGCGCGCAATGGGTGTTGAGCAAGAGATTTACATAGGAGATTGTAGTTTATTATAGTTCGATTAAGACAAAGATAGTTTATTAAAGAAACTTAACGATATTGAATACAGTTCTACTTGTTCCTTTGAACAGAGCTTTCTGGTTCTGTTTGCTTCCTCGCGCTTCCTCACACCACGTGTACGTGACGTCGGGAGTACGCAGCCTTGTGTTCTATCAGCACAAGGTCTTACCAGTCATCTAGTAAGAGCGTGCCCCGTTACACCTCCAAATAAGTCAAACTTGTTGTGTCATATCGAACTAAGGGTTTTCTTACCGAAAAAACTGAGATGATATTAACGGTTTCTATATCAATTGTCGAACGTGCTCTGACATTTGTAAGAAGCCGATGCTGCAATTTTTATAAATCAATGTCGATACGGACTCAGCCAAACTCATGATACATTCTTTAGAAAACCGGTTGATCTCTTGCGACACTCCATGTCAAACATTCGCCCTTAACGGGCGTTAAAGCTGGCACACGACTTAAGAGCATGTAAATTTATCTATTGAGGACTACAGATCAATATGCAGCACGCTCAGCCATCTTTGTCATGCCAAATGTTACTTTGTTAGCATCTCCTTTGGTGACAGTGTAGCATTTGACAGACCTTCGTAGCAGGAAGCATCTTTCAGCTCCTTCGAGCTTGACGATGTCAGACCGACGAACGTGAATCTTCCTGCAAAATAGCAGCATGTGCTAAATGCTCTATTTACAGATGAAACATTGAGAACCTTATCTTATCTTAAAACTATGTCTGTCATACAACTTGCTGGTATGGCTGTAACACCTCTTTGTACTGCCGCGTTCGCTCAATGATGTATGAAGTTGGCGGTCGAGCAATGGTGTCCGTACTTCTACAAAGCGAGCAACATATCGCTTATGGCTGGCCCACCGATGATGTTACGTATGCGTTCGACGGGTTTTGTCTTTTACCATTCAAGGCGTAAAAATCTCACGATTGGCGTGAGGGCTACACACAAATACCACCGTCAGGTGGATGGGTTCCTACCATTGGACAAATCACGAAGTGGTGACTGGTACAACAGAGTCCTCTACCCCTAAATATAGTGAAGGCATTGTATACTTCGTTATTATCCTTACTAAATCTGTAATGACAAACATACAAGCGTGTCGCCACCTCACAATTACCAGTCATTGCACGCATATGGCCTTCACGTCGGCTTTATCGGCTGACAATACGGTTTATATCATCTATGGATAGTATATGCACCTACTACGAAGCACATTACCATTCATTCTAGTATTCTTGGATACTATTCGCTAAGTAATATTGCTGGATACTATCTGCTACGGTAATATATACGCTGATAGTTGTGTCAATATCAATATTTGTAACAGGGTCACTCGGTTTTTACGAAATATTTTTGCGGTCACGGTTACAGACGATGGATATTCGCAAGAATAAGATACATTCTTGATAGAATACATGTTTTCTGATCGTTTATCCCATCTACCATGATGTTGTACATTATCCAGTTTCTCTCTTCTTGTGCTGCAATTTTGTGCTCTCGTGTCAATTAATTTGTTTGCCTTTTTCATGTGACATCGTGTCCTTTAGTTACCCTTTTCTAAGAAGCCGCTATTGTGTTTGCATACGCGATCGTTTCGGCTACTGCCTCGACCCGTCGTCTTCTGCAGCTTATCGGCCTCCAACCACAACAGATCGGAGCTCCAGTCCACAGAACCGATCGCAACTGCGCTCACTCTCCCACCGGTCGACTCCAACACCGCACGGAAGTAGCTGCAAAGCCTCAAGGTCCAGTCAGGTCTTTGTCATCTACAGGTACGGCTGGAAGAAGCTGTAGCCATGACGACCGACTCGGACGCCAGGAACACTCTGTGCCCATGCGACGAAAACGCCACGAGCAACGACTCGGCCGAACCTGCCGCTGCTTTTCGTCGTGCAGATGACGACGGTCCGTTGCAGCTCACAGTGCAGTCGTTGCCCTACGTGAAACGCCGGGAACATGTGGACGCAGTGCGAAGCTTTGACCCGTCCGGCCGCCGCCGCGTCTCTCTCGGGTGCAACGCGCCGGCCGGTCCACTCGATGCCTCAGTCGATCCTGCCAAGTACTTGACGTCGCTTTCGTACTCGGTTCCGAGCACCAATCGGGTGTCCAATACACCGCGCGGCAGTCCCGCGGTTGACGTCATTGCTACGTACATGAACACGTGCGACCAGCGGACAGTCAAGTTGGAGCTTATGCGCGCCCACGCGCGCTTTGCCTCGACTCGAGGTACGGACGCGTTTGCAGTGTTGCCGCTTTGGCTTCCGAGGCAGACGAAAAAGGATTTGCGTTTTGGGTTGTGGTATTTTTTATGTCGATGGGACGTCGATGCGTTGTGGTGTCGTTGTCATCGAGTTTTTTCATAACTGCTTCTATCGCTGCTTCTATTGCTGCTATTGTTGCTTTGATTGTGGTTGTGTTGTGGTCAAGAAGGTGGTCCGCCGACGCACACCCGCACTTCTTCTATGGTTAGCAAAGAAGGCAGCGCCGAGTGGGGCTGGTTTGCCGACATTGACTCCAGCAGCGAGAGCAAGGGCAACGACGGTTCTGTTCACTCCCTGCGACGACGACTAAGTGCAGACTTGGGCCTTGTCGACGTAGGCAGTGTCCACGTCTTGGGTGATGAGCAGACAAACACGCGCAATACAGCCGCGCATAAGACATTCACGATCGTCACGGAAGGTAACAGCAAGGTGGTCTCCGCAACGGTGTCAATACCCAAATTCCGCATCGTGCAATCGCGCTCGGGCTCTGACCGCCACGCGCAATACCTGATCACGCTCCTGCTCGGCAAGGAGCTGTACGCAGACTGGCGTCGATACTCTGAGTTTGGGGAATTAGTGAAAACGCTTGACGAAAAGCGCTACACAAGGACGCAAGACGTCTGGGCAGGCATCGAGACGCGCTGGTTCAACAGACTAGAACCGTCCTATCTGCACCAAAAGTGCATCACACTTGAGAACTTCATGCGCGAGCTCATGTACGAATCGAACGAGCCGACTGTACTGATTAACTTCCTTGGCGGCTATCTAGGAAAAGTGAATGCGCGACCGACAGATCCTGTGGCGTACCGCCCAGCTGCCCAGCTGCCGAAGGAACTTCGTCCACCGCAACCGCGACACGAGCGAGAGTTGTTTGAAAAGATGTGGGCTGAGAACTTTCAACGTTCACGCGTGGACTATGCAACAGTTGAGCCCTCGGACCAGACCACCAGCGTCTAAGCAAGCAGACTGGGAGAGAGGACGGTTCTTGGTTAGATTTGAACGTGATGCTCTTTTTCAAGTCGCGCAAAGTAGTCGCTAGCCATGTTTGAGGCATTTAAAAGAGGCTTGCCAAGAACGATTGTTTGCTAAGAACGAGTGCTTGACCAATGTGTATGCTACGTCACTTAATGCCTTCATGAAGGGCACTGTGTCCTATGCACTTACGAACGTCTAACGACGATGCAATTGCTGCGTGTCAAAAAGCCGCGCCAGCCACGTACCAAACGATTGGCAAAAACTGTAACGTAGATACGTAGTGCATAAACGAAATGTTGCGAATACGTATGCATGGCCTAACTATGCATACGTATTCGCAACTTTCGTTTACACTACGTATCTCCGTTGCAGTTTTTAGGCCATGCAAGTTGCGATCAACGCTAGTATATATCCACCTCGTCACAGTGGTACCATGATCATCAACACTTGTTCGGCGAACAATAGTGATGGGACAACATCCACTCGATTAGGATTGATTGCCTGCTTCCACCAATGCATAGCTCATGTCTAACGACCTCGCACGAAGCCGAAAATTGACCTTGATGTGTCGAGTTTCGGCTACTGAACCTTCTTCGCCGAAAAGGTTCCGTTGGCTTTGATGCTGTTTTTTTCGTATTGGTAGATAGTCAAGTCCGGGATGTGCGAGATGTCGCGCACGAAGAAGACCTTTGCAAGGCGCGATTCAGCCACCATAGGAAACAGCCACGGAGAGACCTGCACCATTCATGCCGCAAATTACTATCGGACATCATCATAAGCAACTCACGGCAAGCTTACCGCGGCGACCAAAGTGTACCAGCCAACCCCAGTTAGCACACCGACGACCGCGCCAGCTATGACTTGGTCCGTAGAGTGGTAACTCAAGTGGATACGCGAGTAGCAGGTCAAACACGACGTCATGATCACGCTCGATATCGTGAACCATTGCTCTAGTCGTCTCCGTGAGTTCAGTCTGACTCACAGCAAGGATTACAACGAGCTCGTCAGCGTTTTCGATGTCGAGGCACACATAGTATGACCAGACCTAAAGACCTCTTCCACGTGTAGATTACGACATAAGCTGCGAAGAAGCCCATGAATTGAGAATGCGCCGATGGCATTCCTGGTCCACGCATGAACGCACTTTCTGGGCGCGGCTGGTTGATCACTTTTTTCAGCACTTTGTTCACCACGACACCCACAAGCTGCTTACACCAATTTCATTGTTAGAAACACACACAGCATACCGCAATCATTGCACAACAAAAGACAACCTGCCCAGCGAGCATACTGATGCTATCTAGGTCTCTTTGCGATGCGACGACTGTGACGTACGCAATCATCAGGAAGCTACAATAGGGTTAGCCGCACTAGCGCTCGTAACGCATTATTCCAGTCGAAACTCACATGGGAGACAGCGTAAAGAGCGCCAATAGGGCGCCCAGCGGATCCGTCGGGTCGTACACGACCCACGTGAGCTCAAACTCCTGAACGCGCGAGACCCCCTTCATCGCTGCCTTGACACTTCCTAGAGTTGGCACGTGAATGTCCACAACGGGTGTGGCACGTCAGACGTGCTACACTTGACCGCAAGTCGCGCGTACCTTGGTGTTAAGTACGATATTGGCAATGTCTCTGATCCAGTACTTTCACCAGTATTAGATGCAAAAATGTTTTAACTGCAGGTGTGCGGTCGCTTTGACACCTTGAGGGCGTACGCGAGTAGACACCGACTGCCTCTGTCGTTAGTCAATCGGATGGAAGTAAAGATCCGTTGCAGATCTACCAAGTAGTCAGCAAAGAAGTGTACGTGTCTTGAGCCCTGTATTACCATGTTTTTATAGTAGCCACGATGCCGGGTAAAATTGGCAGGGTACACGACCCTTGAAAGCGTGTGTGGCTGCATGGCAGAGTCCCAAGTGTCGTGGAGCGTTTCTTGAGAAAGTAAGGCCTGATCGGTTCATCGTTTACATTCGTCACCTGCATGTCGTCTATGCTGGCTTCAGGCGAGTTGGCAGTCCAAGGCCAACACGATGAGACAGTATCATTTGTGGTAATTGCACAAATGTTTTGTCTCGGCCTCCACACGGGGGACGGCAACAAGAAGTTAAGTGACAGGGTCACTCTATTAGCGCCATGGACGAAGACAATTTTGCATGTGAACTGTGATGTAGACAAGATGGTGCTGCAGGCATAATAGCTCACGGATCCGCAGAAACTTTTGCTTTCAATTGAGCGTAGACAAGCTGGCTTCGGCCGTTTAACCCATTGCCGTCCTGTGTGATTCTACATTACACTAATCATCGACACCAATCGACACGTGGGTTGAACACTTGTACAGTACTCATCGCGCGCGTCTTGTCTCGAAAGAGAATTTTCTGGCAGGAAGAATGGCATCTTCAACCAAATAGCAGATTGACATCAAACGCTGCCGAATGTCTGCTTTCAAGGACGTTATATATTTATTCGTACAATCTATAGAAACAGTCATTACGATTAATTGCTAGGATAATATCAATATTAACGACAGACTGCATGCCAGCGTCAGGTGACGTTGACTCACCCGTTAGAAGCGCTAGATATTACCTGTCTGGGTGGTATTCAATTTCAGGTCATTTTAGGAGGGCGGGTGTGCCCGTAGCAAAAATGGGGTGTGCCCCTAGCAAAAGTGGGGTGTGCCCCTAGTCGTGGCCTTGTATCTATGGATGCAATAGGCCTTAAATGCGACAATGTGCCGCTACAGAAACAACCTGCTCTTGTAGTAGCTCCTGCGAAGTCGAGAATACCTGTTCTTCTAGAGCCGTGTGATTACCATAAAAACGTTCCGTGTTATAATTCCTTGCATGGCATTTTTGCTTTCGACCAAGTGCGTGTTTTGAGGCTGCAGTTACAAGAAACATGATCCTGACGCTGCAGAGAAGTCGCGGCAGGATTTGGATTGAGCACTAATTGAGGCCTTTTCACGGAGTAGCTAAGTTTCCGTATGCCTGGCCGAGGATGAATCCTTGCTTGCTTTTGTTGCGAGGTGATGGTATCACAATGATGCGTTGATGTGTCGTGTTCGTTTATTGGGGTCTAGGAAGGTCGCCTACGATATAGCGACATGGTGTGCCCATTTTATATCCGTCAGCTACGAACACTTTTTGCTGATAAGACGCTTCCAATTTATTCAAGACGGTTGGTTGATGTAGAAGGCCATGCGAAAGAGACTGTCTAAACAGTTTGTCTGAAGTATTGGTGCTGCGCATCATCATGTCAATGCAGTGAACAGGATGTTACTTGCTGGAAAAGGTCATTGCGCGTGAGCCTGTCTGATTTCCTGCTCATTCACGTGTTTTGACTCAGCTCGATACGTATGGGACTGAGCACTGCATCAATACGTATACAGACAAAGATGTTGTTGATCAGCACTTGGAATGAAGACAATTACGCAGATGGTTTTTGCGTGAAGTGTACTTTATGCAGCCCATTACAAAGACCTACTCGTCAAAGAGGAGTCTATATGGTCAATACCTACCGTGCGACATGAGCGAATGAATTCTCAAACACCATATAAGTCGCGCTGCAACTCTTCCTTGTGCGCACTACCACTGCAATAAAGAAAGGTTGAGTGCGTTGCATGTCAACCATCCCTCGACAGGATGTACTTTCCTAGGCGCTGACGGCCTGAATTCGAGCAAGTAGAGCTTCTCGTACGCGTCACCCAGACTCAACTTCTCCAAAGTATCCTTGTATTTAATGGCAGAGCGGTTGCGAATGTTGTGTACCCCAAGCTGCTCCTTGTAGATGTCTGGGAGGTGTCGTGCTTGGACAGATCAGATAGAGGCGCGCGCTTGTTTATCAAGTCTTGAGCGATCTTGGTCCCATGTCCCATCTGAGTGCGTACCTATGAAGCCGCCTTTGCATCCGCGTGCTTGCCCCATGCAGCTGCAAACTTGGTCGAAGCGGTGTCGTAGACCTTTTTCGGCCAGGTCACTAGCATGTCTTGAATGTAGTGGATGTGGTCTAAGAACTTTGAAACCGTGCGACGGCCTCGAGTTTGGCGAGCGCTTCGCTCACCCGCACTCCGAGCTCCGCCGTTCCCCTTTCTTCAGGGACGTCGTCATCCATGATGTTGCACGCGCAACGAAGTTCGTTCGGCGTTCGTTTTTGACAGAGCGGGGTGGGTCCTGGTTCGGCACTGGCCCCTTGGTCAGTCGTTCGCTGGGCGGAGCAGAGGGTGCGCCGTTGCCAGCCGACAAGACGAACGTGAGCACGAGGAGCAGGAAGCGCGTTGGTACTGCAGCAGCATCAGTGTCGGCCAGCAGTAAGGAGAGAGAAGCGGGATGGGGTGGGTGTAGTGAGGAGTGCGATGCAAATTGGGAAGTGGACAGAGGGAACGAGGTCTTGGCCCACGCAGTGGTCCGATGTCCTCAAGATCCGGAACTTCTTCAGAATCTGAAATGGCTGGAGCGAAACAAATTGCCCAGATACTGGTCGTTTGCCTGAAGGATGTAGAGCAGACCTGCAGCCAACGTTATCCAGAAACAGGGTGTGAAGCAGATTGGAATCTTCTCACTTCATCGTAGCCAGTACGTGCTCTGATATTGCATTGTGGGGGTGAAAACACCACATTTGCCGTGCTAGCCTGAAAGAACGATAAATCATGCTAGAGAAGGTTTTAGGTGAGGCGGCTCGACTCCTTGAGCTTCTTTGCAGTAACCGAATCGAAGCACTTTTGACTGCCGCGCAGACAGCGGTAGCCAGTGGCCGACCAGCATTCCGTCAGATTATGCTTCAAATGTCCGAAATATCCAGAACTGGTCATTCAGAGCGAATGAGATCAGGTTGCGATTTTGTGGAGCAGGGCAAGAAAAGTGTGTACGGATCGGCCATGCTCGGTCAAATATCGTGCTTTCCTTTCGTAGAAGCTTGCTGTCTACCTACATAAAGTGGCGTCATTTTAGCTCGATCGATCGTCTCGTGTGTGCATTGTTACGATATAGTCGAACGAAGGAGATAGGAGTGATGCATGCAAGCGCAGTCTAAGTCACGTGTGCCTTTCAAATACCATGTATGCGGTGATGCACCAAGGACTCTTACAATAACCGCCGTTCGCTTGAGATGACGTTGCACATACTGAGCCCTCACCATACAATTTTGCTGCTTCAAGAGCTATGCTTCCGGCTGTCATCCTCCCGTCTTTATTTAACCCCACTATAGGCTGCGGCTTGGCTAAAAATCTCATTTCGAACGCCACCCACTTAGTATCACGAATTGCGCCGCTCATGTATGCGATTTTTATATTGTCCCGCTGAAGCGCAGGCTTTGACATTGAAGATAGCGAAACGATTGGCTTTCAATGCTACTATGTTTTTTTGCAATGACACCTAGAAAATATTAGCTGGAGGAACGTGAGGTGTCTTGCAATGGGTTCATCTCGAATTCTGCCACAGTGTAAATAGTCTTCGTTGTCTGTCACTAGCAGGTTGCATTTTAGATTACAATTGGAACGTCTTTGCACCCTGACCGTGCACTTAGACGACAGGATTATGCCGGTATCTGATGCACCATATCAATACTACCCTCAAGATGCCTTCGTCCCCTCTGATTGCTTTCACACAGGCTCTTGGGATATGTAGAACGACATGCTGCTTCCACAGCAGGTGAACCAAGTTACAAGCAGCATCTTTGTGCGGCAACATGGGCCACGACAGTTTTATCGCTGCGCCGAGACATCACGCCCATCATCTGTGTAAGGTCTGTGTCTTCACGTAAGCATGCTTTAGTTGGAAAAGGGAATGCAGCAAGGCTTCAAGGTAACTGCGAGCACGTAAAAGTATGTGAATGTGTATGTAGATTCGACTTGCTCTGTGCATCGTTCCTACTTGTCAATGTGCATGGATCGAGGTCTGTAGTGGGCTGCTGCATTTGCACAAAAGACGCAGAAATCTTTCTCTGAAATGACACACGTTTGGCTGCTGTATACGAAACGTTTCATGCACTATCACGTCCGTCAGATGTCGAAAGTCATCGCCTACACTATTCTCGCACATACTCTCTACGGTTCCGAGCCACCTGCATCGTTTACTAGTCCCACAGTAATTTGAGCTGTGAGAAATGCACATGAAGCTGATTGAATCATGTACACAAGAGCACTGACGCCGCCGTTGCCCGAGCATCACCGTCTCAGTGAAGATCCATCTTGTTATAATTGCTAGCCTTCATACCTCTTGCGTGATAACGGGTCAATCTTGAGAAAGTAAAGTGGATTGAGCGTTTCTTAGGCACACGTCGATCATGTCAACCGAAAATAATTCGCATAATCGCAAAGCGAACCCATGTCAACGGCATTAATCCTTTCTATAAAACTTCCAATGTGCACACATACTGTATCACCGCCTTCCAGTAGATCCTTTACACAACAATATACAAGTGAATTATCACTTTGTTAACGAAAGACAATTTTTGGTATGGGCAAAAGTTCTTTACGATCCATTCTAAAGTGAAGTGAAAATTACTACTCGTTCAA